TCACATCTGTTCCCTGGTGTTCAATACCCACCTCTTTACTGATGACTGCCACATTTTCTGTCCAGCGCCAACCTTTACTTAGAGCTCCAGGCTTACCTAACATAAATTCGTGGATGTCTCATAAGCAGTTCAACTTAGTGTGTCCAAGTCTGAATGCCTGCTATTCTTCAAACCCCTTTCTCTTCCACTTCTTTCATTACCACCAGTTGCCTGAGACTCATTCTCAACTCAGGCCTTCTTTTCCACCCTATCCCCAAGTTCATTTGTCAAGTGCTGTGGATATTCCTAAAATGATTGCCCAGGTCCCAGCCCAAGTCACCATTATGGCTTACTTGGAATATAGCAATAACTTCCTAACTGGTCACCTTCATTTTATGCTTGTACCTATATCCATTCTCTACATAGTGTGCTCTAAAAATAACAAATGAGCAAGAGAAGAATGAAAAAGAAAAAAAAAAAAAGATTAGGTCTGGCCCTGGTTTAAACTCCTTCAAAGGACTCAAATTCTTCTTAGAAGGAAGTCTACATCTTTCTCTGGCCTACAGGGTTCTGAATTACGGTGCATTTCTCACTTTATCTGTGCCGGACTCACCACCACCAGCAGCTCACCAAGCTCTGGTGCCGATCTTTTTTCATTTCATCAGATACAGCAGACCTGTTCCCACCTCAAGGTCCTTGCATGTGCTGTGCCCCTTGCTCGAAGCCCTCTTCTTCCCCATTCTTTTCATAGCTGCTGTCCCCTATGAAATCCTAAGTGTCATGACTTCAGAGAGAACTTTCCTAGCCTCTAAAGTATTCCCACATTATTTTTTCACTGGATCCTGCACTTTGTATTCTACAGCCTGAACAACAATTGCCTATCTTTTACCCCCTTGCAGACTAGGAGATCCAGAAAGGCAGGGACCATGGAGGTTTACTCACCACTGTGTATCGAGCCCTTGCACTCTAAGCCATGCATGCGGTCAAGTGTTCTTTGAAGGAATCAACTTTTCGGCCTGAGATAAAATGCTGCCTTGGCAAACATGGACATTCTCACCACTCTTGCTTCCCGCAGGGCTGTAAGATCCTGATCATTTTCCCAAAGGAGGTTGGAATACGGCTGCAGGTTGATCTACGTCTCCGACATGGCTTCTACCTGGGGTCCTTTCCTTGTGCATTTTCCCAAAGGAGGTTGGAATATGGCTGCAGGCTGATCTACGTCTCTGACATGGCTTCTACCTGGGGTCCTTTCCTTGTCATGACCTCACTAATCAGCCCTCTAACGGTATTTGAGGTAAAAAAATCTAGGGATTATGGATACCTTAAAAATAAAGGCTTGCCTTGTTTCTCTTTTTAAAAAACAAAACAAAACAAAACAAGCCTGAATGTTTTCACCATAGAGTATGAAGAAATTTACTATAGGTTGCCTTTGTACTAGTGTTTGATTCAAAATTTGCTTTGAGTCTGTAATAATCACCCAGTACTATTTATTAATATGAGTAGTATTAAAGATCTTAGATTTTAGATGAGTTCAAATTTCATTCTTTTTTTTTCCAGCTGCAGGACCTTGGGTAAACCATGTAATTTGTCTAAACCTCAGTTTTCTCATTTATAAACAAGGGATTTTGGTATTTATCTTACAACATTGTTTTAGGGATTTTTAAGTTTTTTTGAGAGATTTTTGCTATAGGGCATGTATGCTTGCCTGAAAGACAGAGAGAGACAGAGAGAAAGAAAGCGAGAAATCACCCCCAAGGGGGCATGGCCACGCTGCAATCCCTTCTCCTCTCAGGATTTTGGGCATGCACGCACATGCGCCTGGTGTGAGTTTAAGCCACCGGTTCCAGAACTCAAACTGAGGTCGACTACATTGGAGTCCAGTGACATAGCCATTACGCCAACTGGTGGTCCCATTTTAGGGATTTTGTAAGGTAATGTGTATAATGATTTTACCCAGTACCCATCATATAGTCATCGTTCCATACAAGAATGACTGTTTTCACTACTCATAAATAATTTTAGTAAGACAGCCTAGAATCATAGAACATTAGATTGAATATTGATAATCTTTAAATCCTAGCTCTGTCAGTCACAAGCTCTGTGACAACAGACAGATCTCTGACCTCTCCAAGCCTTAGACCCTCATCTGTAAAAAGCCACAAGCAAAACTGGCTTAACCAGCCTCAAAGTTCTTCTGAAGAATCGATTAAGTAAGACAAAAATGTAAAAGTATTTTGTACACTGTAAACCACTGTTATATGTACAAATCTTTAAAGTCACCAACTTTCCTCTTAAGTACAGGAATGGCTGCGACTCCATATTAAAGTAAAACAGGTGCAGAGTTCACGTAGTTCAAAAATCCAGTTGCTTCTAAAATGAGTCAGTGAAATTTGGCAGCATTTCACTTGCTTAGTCGTTTTGTTATTTTTATTTTTTTAAAGGCAGCCAGCAAGACTCTAAAAACTCTCTGATTTCTCCAGAGCAGATATACAATGTCCTGAACAATATTCTTGGACTCATTTCTTAAGTTCACTGATGGAAGGGAAACCTGACCCTGAAAGGTAAAATTAGGCTTGTTGTCAAATCACTGTTCTTTCCATCTGACACATTTTCACATCCATATGAACTAATCTACTCAAATTTTGCTTCTGTTCAGTGGTGTAGCAAGTGATTCTGATAATTTCTTTACAGGGTCATTATTCATCATTTTAAAGCCTCTTGCATACCTAGTGACCACATCATTTTCATATTAGTACATTTTAAAGGATCCTGGAAACCAGCACTGTCTTAGTTTGGGTGTCATTTATTTGCAGGTATTAGGCTATGTCACTGTAGAAAAATGGTGAGCTGGTAGAGGTGACCTTTTCGGTTCTTTCCCACTCAAACTCTGAGAATATGATTGAACAAGCTGCTAAACTTTTAGGGCCACACTAATGCTGTCTGGACTCTTCTACACTCCATTTATCACTTAGAATTGCTTAAGTAGACTAATTCAAGACAGAAAACTCATGCTCAGTATTTCATGAATCTACTTTATGTAAGTCTTTCACTAGATTTAGTAGTAGGACATATATAAAAAAGTGTGTTCATTCTAGATATTACTGCATTGATAGCATCCTTAATTTTCTTACTTCGCACACTTCTTATCCAATAAAAACCAAGTCATGTCAATATCTCCTGATTCAGCCTTCCTCACTGCCACAGTCAACACCTGCAATAGTGTCTTAATTGGTTTTCTACTCATCCATTTTTGCCTACTCCAATTCATCCTCCATTCTGTATCTTATGTGAGTTGATGCAGAATATAAATCGGATCAGACCCCACTCCTGCCTAAAAGTCTACAGTGCTATCCTGCTGCTTTTAGGGTAAAGACCAGAATCTTCACAGAGATGACTACTGTATTATACTCTCAAGGAAACCTTCCTGTTACCCAGATCCAGGTCAAGTCCCCAGTGTGTCAACATGTTGGCCCTGGAATTAGGGTTTGTTAGGGTTTATATCTTATTTCTGCCCCTTTTTAAACCTATGTAACCTTGAGTAACTTACTTTATCAATTTTGGCCTATGTCTTCATCTCTAAACTGGAATTATTTCTAGAACATTCTACTGTTTAAAATAGTTTTCTCAGGGGGCTGGCAGGTGGCATGGTGGTTAAGGGTGCAGGACTCCCCCATGGCTGCCCATGATTCAAGTCCTGTGGACCTAGTGGCTTGCTTTCTCACTGTCTCTCTCTCTCATACTCTCTCTTGCTCTGTCCCTCTCTGGTCAAATTAAAATAAATAAATAAGGTGAAGTAAACCAATTCTAAACAAAATTTAAAACTTTTTTCAGTACCATTAAATGATTGGAGATGGTACCCAATCAACTAACCAAAGGATAAGTTCACACTTGTGTTGTTTAGCAATGATTCCTGAGTGAGTGCTTCAAGAGAGGAAGATAAATCTTAAAGTGAAAAATAAACAAATGACAAGGGGAAGGGGAGGATTAAGAATTTATCTGATTTTAGTTACCTCACATATAAAATTAGGGGCAATGAGACTAGATTATGTCTTTTTTCCTTACCCTACTGCTCAAAATACTAGGATTCTAGTAAGTAGAGAACAGTAGATATATGAAAGTGAAAACCAGAATCTATTTGCTCTTTGTTATTTTGACCAATAGAGCTACAGAGGATTGTAGATGAATAGCCCTAAAGAAATTATTCTATTAATACTTAGATGTAGGGTAGACTCCTGAAAATTCTGTTTTTCACCCTAAATAATACATATACTTGGGGTAAAAAACCAAAATTTTCAGGAGTCCACCCTCACTGGCCTTTATGACTGTAGCCACACAGAAACAGGGTATGTAAAATTTAGAACACAATGTTAAAATAGTGCGATCTATGAAGAGACGTACACAAATATTTAAACAAAGCTCACTTATTAAGCATTGAGCTTTAAAAAATAATAACCAGTAGTACTAGTAATCTATTTTTTTGCTTTGGTTTATATAAAATATATAAAATAACTTATGAGGATTTCAGTCATTCAGTGTAGATTGGACAACCACTGTATTTCAACCAAGATGATCTCCTCTGATGTTGTTCTGCTAAAATGGTGAAAGGCTGATCAATACAACTCTTAGAAAACATTTGTAACAATTACTGGTGGCCAGAGTCTTCATGTTAGACTGCATAAGGCTACTGCATTTCAGAGAGAGCCTTCACTCATAAGGAGGTTATTCAAAAATCACTGTTTATATTTGCTTCTGCAAACATCATTTACATTTAAATTCCTGCTCTATATTTGAGGAGAAAGTTTATGGACCATGAACAAGGGTCAAGGTTTAATGTGTGTGTGTGTGTGTGTGTGTGTGTGTGTGCATAATAAATCAAAAGAACAGGAATGACTTCATACTGAATTTTTAAAGCTGGAATTCAGTGAAAAGAAAAGGAAGGGAAAGATCTGAATCAATTTTTGGAATTAGACATTTCATGGGAATTTAAGTCCTACTGCTGTTGATGGGAGCACACTTATTACCTTGACTGACTGTTTACTGTTATGAGTGGCTCTTCTTTTCCACATGCCGGATTTCTTTCTTCGTTTTCACCTTATAACCTTCTCCCTGTATAAAAGGAATGCACACATTAAGATTCCATGGCAAACTGCATTTTGGTACTTCCCATCCTGGTCCCTGGGGGCTAGACTAAGATAAGTCAAACAGTTTAAAGCACTTTGTCACTTCATGTCCAAAAATACAATCCATTTGGCGTAACCACACAGCCTTAGCGTCATCATCGAGGCAAGCTGGAGAGCACTGTCAACACAATACAACACAACTGTACTTTACAGTAATTCAGCAGGTTAGTGATAAAAAAAAAAGAAAGCAGCCTTTTCCATAGTAAGCTAGAAATCATCACTAAAGTTTGCAAGGCACCCAACACTCAGTTTTAAAAACATCAGTAGTTTATCATTTATGTCTTTTTTAGCCAGCAGAATTTGAAGTGATCTGTTGTAATACGACTGAAATTCCTCAGTAAAGCACTGATCAAGAACCAAACCCCATGGAAATGCTGTTGCTCTGAAGAACTTTATTTTCATTGTTTAAAGTTTGTGGAACGCCCAGACTAAGAAGGCAGCCTAAAACAAGACTTCTCTCCACTGACCACCAGGAACAGACTTCTCTCAGGGCAGTTGTACGAATACTCCGTTTTTACCTTACTTATAATAGAAAACACAAGTAGCCTTCCTAGTTTTGATTTAGTCCTTCTGAGACATTTTCACTTCACTTTTTTGCTAACATAAACACACTTGATTGAAGTTCCTATTTTTAAATCAAAAGCGTAAAGATCTGAGAAATAGAGAGAAATGAAAATAGCCAGAAATGTTTTCTGAGGCGGGAGGGTTCCTTTGGTGAGCTACACATCTCAGTGATGAGTTTGGTTCTTAGGCTGGCTGGTTGGAAATGGGCTGTTAGGCACCCACTGAAGATGAACCCTCTCAAGATGGGGGAGTTTAGGGGTGATCTCCATGGCATAGCAGTAATATGCTGCTTAAGGGAAGCTGGATCCCACATGGAGATTGCTGTTCAAATCCTCGGCCTAATAGCCCTGAAACACACAGTACACGTGAGTGCCCAAGATCTGAGGGGCTGCAGAAGGCATGAGCAGGCCTCATGGAGGGTGCATCTCTCCTTTTCTCATTCTCATGTGTACACACTCAATCACAAAGGAAAAATAAATAATAGAGATGGGGGAATTCAGATTTCCTACAGAATGTATTAGAAAGGAAAAATGTAGAAATCTGATGTAGAACTTTTCAAAATTATTTAATTTTATTCATTCATTTTAATTTGACCAGAGAAAGAGAGAGACCAGGGACAGGGGAGGAGTAAGAAAGCAAGCCACCAGATCTGGGACCTGAACCATGGTTGGCCATGTGGGAGTGTCCAGTGCCTTAACCACCATGCCACCCGCTGGCCCCTGATGTAGAGCTCTTGAATGAAGTGTAAGCCCCACGTCCTGGGAGTGTCCTCATCCAAAGGCAGAGTCATTGGTGGGTGGGATGGGGGCACTCCCAGGTATTTAGAGCTCTTGAGGGGTTTTAGTTTCTCTCTTTCTTAACCTGGTATATTCTGTCTCCTGATTAATGAACTTATCACTGAGAAAACACTGAAGACAGTAAAAACATATGTAACGGTATAGAATGTTAGAAAGAAAAGTTTTTTTTTTTCCTAATCGTGATCAAATGCATGAACTGTCAAAAGCAGCAAATACTGTAAGCTGCACACTGCAGATGCCAGCCTGTTAGCAGCACTTTCTAGGCAGTGCACAAGCTTTTATCCTCTACTTTCTCCTTGGCAATGCCCTTCCATTACCACATCATGTTTTCTCTCTTGTGGGAGAACCATTCGTCTTATTACTGTCCGAGTGATCTGTAGGGAGCAATAGTGAGAAGCAGAGATTTTTTTTGGTTGGAAGACATGATGCCACAGTACCAAAATAGCAGTGATTTTAATGCACAGGAAAAAAAAATCTGAATTCCAAAGAAAGCATGAAATCTCAATAGTGATTACTTTTCGGGTGATGAGGTTGCCTTCTTCATCAGTAAATTGTTCTTCTGTGACAGATTCACCAGGAATATTTTTTGCTTCCTCCCCCTAAAGGATGTGGCATAGAGATTAGCAACATACTAGACGAAGAGATTTCCACACCACTCCAAACACCACACACATGCTCTGCAATTTTAGGAAAAGAAGTTGTCGATTCTACTTGCTATCCCAATGCAAGGGGAAAAGGCAGACTTCACTAGCAGTTATGTAGCACTCAACAACATTCAAGCATTAAACCTAAGGTATACAGAATGTAATGATGGTTAGCAACAAATTCAAGAAGGAAGAATTTGGAAATATGTAGTTATGGAATGTAGTTACACATTGATAAATAAACCAAAAGGCATCATTTATTGAAAAACAAAATTAGCCAATGATTAGACCTGATCATATCATCTTACTTTAAGCACAGTGTTTTATTAGTCCTACCAAATCTCATGAGGGGAGATTTGTGGATCGAGTCTCACCTAATTTGTATTGAGATTGTGCCTTAGTTGGAGCACTGTATTATTATCCTTGTTACTGTGTCTCATTTAAAAATTCATTTACTAAGGGTAATGTATACCCTTTGCTTTTCACAAGACAGGAGGAATGTTCAGGGTCTAGAGAAATTTTTTTTTTTTTTATTAAAAGACTAATAAGCCTTTCATAGGCCTCAGAGTAAGTCAGAATAACCATTTCTGATGAAGTACATAGTTTAAGAATACTATCTTTAAGTGAAAAGGGTCTTATATGATGAGTGATGATCTCCAATGCCATAGGGGAAGAAAAATCAATACCAAAGGAATTTAGCATTATATATTTCAGTAGTGACTATAATCTGATTTACAAGGGGAAAATGTCAAACTCTGGAGAGTTTTAAAAGTGGAATAAATTCATAACTAACCAAGCTTACCTGCTCTTAGTAGGTTGGTATCTTTAAATAACTCTTTAAGAAATCTCTACTAGCTCTGTGATTGTGTAAAAAGACTTTTCAGAGGGCTAAAATAGGCCTATCTCTGCAATATGTTGCCTTCTTCATCAGTGTTCAACCTCAGATGTGTGCCATTTGTAGTTTGGAGGAACAAAGATAAATATATTGGGTTGTTGGAAAACTCATGATGTATTTTTTCATGTTTTTCCCTGCAAAAATGTGTCATGACTTTCTGTTACTGTGTCTCATTTAAAAATTCATTTACTAAGGGTAATGTATACCCTTTGCTTTTCACAAGACAGGAGGAATGTTCAGGGTCTAGAGAAATTTTTTTTTTTTTATTAAAAGACTAATAAGCCTTTCATAGGCCTCAGAGTAAGTCAGAATAACCATTTCTGATGAAGTACATAGTTTAAGAATACTATCTTTAAGTGAAAAGGGTCTTATATGATGAGTGATGATCTCCAATGCCATAGGGGAAGAAAAATCAATACCAAAGGAATTTAGCATTATATATTTCAGTAGTGACTATAATCTGATTTACAAGGGGAAAATGTCAAACTCTGGAGAGTTTTAAAAGTGGAATAAATTCATAACTAACCAAGCTTACCTGCTCTTAGTAGGTTGGTATCTTTAAATAACTCTTTAAGAAATCTCTACTAGCTCTGTGATTGTGTAAAAAGACTTTTCAGAGGGCTAAAATAGGCCTATCTCTGCAATATGTTGCCTTCTTCATCAGTGTTCAACCTCAGATGTGTGCCATTTGTAGTTTGGAGGAACAAAGATAAATATATTGGGTTGTTGGAAAACTCATGATGTATTTTTTCATGTTTTTCCCTGCAAAAATGTGTCATGACTTTCTAATGACCCAATATTTAGTGAGGTCTAGTACTCCAAAGACCTACTGACCTGATCGTTATAATCCTTGTTTAAAAGGGAAAATGGATAGTGCAACACTGCAGTAAACAGATGTGGTCTTTCTTTTTGTTTTAAGAGAGATTTTTGCTATAGGGCACATGTGCTTGCAGGGAGACAGAGACAGAGAGACAGAAAGTGAGAAATTATCCTACAGGGGGAATGGTCAAGTGACAACCCCTTCTCCTTCATTGTTTTCTTGAGATTTTAGGCGCACACACACGTGCCTGGTGTGAGTGGTCAGCCTCTGGATCCAGGACTTGAACTACGATTGGGCATGTGGGAGTCCAGCAACGTAACCATTATACCATTTGCTGGTCCCAAGGTGTGGTTTTTCTAAGGAAAACAGATGACGAACATAGCTGCATTCTTGGGAGAGCCAGAATTCCAACTCTTTCAGTTACTGGCATGGACAGGGTGGTTATTCAGGTAAATTTGTCAGGGCTGGCCCACGGTGAGAAAACTTCTATGAATGATCATGTCATGCCCAATAGAAGGGTGTTTTAAAAATGACAGGATGAATACTATCTTGTTTTGCTACCAATATTCCATTTTCATTCTTTCTTCTTATTACAAACTGACTCTTTATTCTTAGAGTGGGGGGGCCGAGGCCATGACAATAGATGGGACATATGACTCACTTCACCTCACTGTGGTATTGGTGGGATGAAAATAAAACAAGTTGTTCTTGCTATACATGTTTAGTTCATCCTAAATCTTGCTTATGACTAGTTTCAACTAGCACAGTCAAGAGAGGGAAGGAAACTGGATACCTGTAGAGGCCTTTGGTCTAAACGCACTAAACTCTGTGACAAGGTTTCCTAGGAGTGTTATTTATGTTTCCTATGGAAGATTTTATATATTTGGATGGGTGGGGCTCAATTTAAAGTAAAGGCATAAAGACAGACAACAATAAAAGCTAATAAAAATCATCGGGACCAACAGTTAGCAAAATGGCTATGTCGCTGGACTCACATGTAGTCGACTGCAGTTCAAATCCTGGACCCGGTGGCTTAAACTCACGCTGGGTGTGTTTGTATATGCCCAAGATCCCGAGAGGAGAATGGAAGAGAAGGGATTGCAGCGTGGCCATCCCCGTAGCGATGATTTCTCCCTTTCTGTCTCTCTGTCTCTTTCTCTCTGTCTGGCGAGCACACGTGCCCTACAGCAAAAACCTCTCCAGAAAAAAAAAAAAAGCTAATAAAAAGTCATGAAAGGATTCACTAGAGTATAAACATTAATGAAATTTTTTTGAGTTAACTCTTTGGAAACGTTCAGCTCATTGAGTGGTAGACAGTTAAAGAATCCTGTGACAATGCACCAAAATTAGAATCCTCTTAGATATGTTATGAATAGATCCTTTTGTGGGGAAAGATGCCAGTTAATTTTTAAATTATTTGGATGGTCTCTGAATGAAATGTGACTTAAGTGTATGTATAAACATAGTAAATGCATGTAAGCATATTTAGATTAGCAGTTTTAGAAAAAACAACCTTCTATTTATAAATAACAAGTCAAATAATCTGTAGAGAAATGAAAGCATTTTCATTGTTTTACAAAGAAAATTCATACTATTTATGTATAGTGTTTTTCTTAAATGACTATCAAACATTCTCAATTATTGCTTTAATAAGTTCTGAATAAACTATGATTATGTAGAAACCCTATACAATGAATTAGATAGTTGATTAGATAGGAGAGATAATAAAGTCAAGAAAGAAATACATTTTCTTCTTAAATTCATTCACTTGTAATTCTGTCAAATATATTAGAGATTAATGGTTACCAAAGAAAGCTCTCTGGGGCCTCTCTTCAATGAAAAACAACAATCTCTAATTAGTTTCTGAAGTTCGATACAGTTTGTACTTTTAAGTACACAAAATCACACCCCTGCCCCTGGTCTTGTTGAAAACATTTTTGGTAGCCTTCCTATTTCCTCCACATTTCAATGGAAAATTACAGCATGTGTGGTGTTATGCTTTCAATCTGGTTGCCTTCTTCACGAAGTCTAACTGTACTTCCCTTTGGACCCCAGCTAGAAGCACTGCATTTTGTAACTCTTACTTTTCTCTTCTTTAAGTTTTTAATATAAGGGAAGAATAACAATATGAACTGTACCAATGCTCCTTGTACACACTGAGAGTTGAACTTTTCTGGGGCTAGCAGGTGGCATGGTGGTTAAGGAGCTGGACTCCTACATGGCCAACGGCGATTCAAGTCCTAGATCTGGTGGCTTACTTTCTTACTTCCCCTTTCTCTGTCTCTCTCTCGGGTCAAAATAGTAATAATAAATAAAATAATTATAAAAAATAAAGAAAGTTGAACTTTTCAAAAATAGATGGATGTGATATATTTTGTTAAAAACAAGTTACTAAATAATATATATAGTATAACCCATTTTGTATGCATAGAAGTCCACTAGCAGAGCACGTGTAAATACATGAACTGCATTTATTGGTCTTTGTATGTAAAAACAATCAAACTTTTGAACAGTGGTTCCCTGCAGGAATGGAATGGGTAGATTAAATATTACATACTTTTGAGTTGCTTGATCTGGGGAAAATACAAACACTTACTTAGACAATAAAGATACTGAAAATAAATAGAAATGAAGTTGTACTACACAGTAAACATTTAGCTATTTGAATCTCACAGTAGTTTGGATGTAAGTTGGTTTAGAGTTGTTCCCTTACCGTCGCTGGATTTGCTAAGCAAACAAGGTCAATAAGCACAGGACTGATTAATGACTTAAACTGCTGCTCAGCATCTGAAACTGCTGTGATATTATCAAACAGTATAGACGTAAATGAGTATGCTAGTAAGATTTTAAAGTCCTAAGAGAAATGGGAGAATTGAACTTAACTCATTCCATAGGGACTTGAAAATATTAAGTGTAAAAGAAAATAGAGCCACATTTGAAAGTCAAGAGAAAAACCACACTTTCACTATACTTATTATGCAAAATAAAGCTGAGACTACAGATGTGCCCAGACATGTGGGAGCGTAATCCTGAGCACACTTACTGCTCCCTGTGGGAGACACTTCCCAGTCAAAGCTAGCTCTGGGAGGGATGGAACAACCCCAAATAGCTTCCAGCACTGAGACAGTAAGTGCTAAGGGGAGTACTAGGGCAGACGTTGTTAAACATAAATAAATAAATCTATGCTGATTTTCAGGCGGAGGGCAGGTGGGGGAAGGGGAATCAGGACTGTAACCAAGCAAGAGGTCAGATTCTCAGCATTCCAGCCCTGTCAAATAGGTTTCAGCAAGGACAGCCCAATGCTGCCCTCTTCCATGCAACTGGAAAAGTCTGAAGAGCCAAATGCCTTATTTAGGCTGGCAAGAAGTATTCCTTTTTCATTTGTTCTAGAAGAGAGATCTCCCATTGATAGAAAGCACTTCATTGGAGGGCTGGGGGACTGAATAGGTTCTGGTCCCAAAGCTGATACTGCCTAGCTGAGTGATTTTCAGTCAATCAGTTCAACTCCAATCTTCAGTTCTGACGTCTAGAAAAAGCAGTGATTTTAGTTTTGATGACCTTTTTTAGGTCTTACATATGACATGGTAATTGCCTCTGTTAAAAATACAATATTTACCATAGGCTATCATTGCTTTTGGACTCTCTGACATTGTGGAGGTAATACCAGCATATGAGGTAAAGAGGAAAATAACAAAAGTGAGATCCTTTTCAACTGCCTCAAAAATCTGAACAGCAAAATATTAATCAGAAAAGATCTTACATATGTATGTTATAAAGCTTGTTATAAATGTGGCTTCAAATGGTAATTAGAGCTTTTGGTTTCTCTGTGACATCTAAAAGATATTTGGCAAAGCTTATTTGTGAATCAGTATTACTGTTTACACAGTGCTCTCCCCAGTTATAAAACCCATTCTCTAGTGATTCTGGCTCAATCTTTCTAAAATTACACTAATTCCAAGAAGTATTTGGAGAGAATATGGATTCCTTGTTTTAAGAAGCCAATGACTTCCTAGTGTGTTTTTTGGTTTGTTTTTGATTTTAAGAGAGGCTTTTGCTATACGGTGCGTGCGCTCGCTGGACATTCTCCTCTCAAGATCTTGGGCACACGTGTACCACATGCGCCCAGCCTGAGTTTAAGCCACCAGGTCCGAGACTCGAACTGTGGTCGACTACATGGGAGTCCAGTGACGTAACCATTTGCCATCTGCTGGTCCCCTTCATAGTATTTTTTAACTTTTTAAATTTATCAATTGGAATGTTAATGTATTAAATAAAATGTTTAGCCCAAATAACTCACTCTAATCAAATGTTCAGCCCAAATAACTCACTCTAATAAAATCACTTAAGTTGAATTCTAGGAGACAAAAAGAAATCAAAAACCCCTTGTTGACAAGAGGGGTTTTGATGTTGTCATAGTCCTCTTTAGAGGAATACTTCTTTGCCTCCTGCCACCCACTTTTTTTTTTATTTCAAACATGATTATATTTGCTGTCTTCTATCCTAGAAAAAGGAGAGCCAACTTCTATAATGGGCAGCCCTTAGAAAGGGATGAGATGGATTTGGATGCTACATGTGAATGCCATAGGTTAATCATAAAAAGCAAGTTAGAAAATAATATGCCTAGGGACCAGCACTTAGTGTAATGGCTATGTTGCTGGACTCCCACATAGTCGACCGCGGTTCGAGTCCCGGACCCGGTGGCTTAAACTCACGCCGGGCATGTGTGCGTGCGTGCCCAAGATCCCGACAGGAGAATGGAGGAGAGGGGATTGCGGCGTGGCCATCCCTCCTGGGGGGAGATTCCTTGCTTTCTGTCTCTCTGTCTCTGTCTGTCTGGTGAGCGCACACGCCCTGTAGCAAAAACCTCTCCAAAAAGAAAAAAAAAAGAAAGAAAAAATGTCTAGTATACTTTTCTAGACATTTCACTTTAAAATATCATCTCTTAAAGATACTGATTATCAGAATAGCAAAACCTGAGCAAAGAGTAAGCCTTTAATAGCTCTAGAAAAACTGAATCTAGGATTTTTCACTCCCTCACCCCAGAGAACATGTGCTAAGTAATTGATTATGAGGATTTCACAGTCAGCAGGTTCAATACTTGCAAATACGCTAGACAGTAATAATAAGTAATGTGGCTTGTCCACATGGAATATTTCAAGTAACTGACTCATGCTATTTTGAGGGCACTCTATTGAACACAACTGATTTGTGGGACAACTCAAAATTCAGACAAGGACTACTTTTCTACTGTTTCCAGAGTTTAGTAAAAGTATATTAAAGAAGATCTGGCAGTGTTTCTTCATGAAAAGTACAAAGCAGTAAAATAGGATGGCAAAAAAAGCAAAATATATAGGAAACAAGAAATGGAAAATTGTTTGTTGACGATAACACGTATGTTGATGTGCTTGATTGAGCCAATAAACAGTGTATTCTGGATGGAAAATCTCATTTTGTATGCTGTAATGATGCATAGTGAATGAATGTAAATAAATAAATTTGAACTAAAAAAAAAAAAAGGAAATTTTGGATACCTAAGCTAACTTTTCTGCTCTCAGGTCTCCTGATACTTTGGAATTAGGTAAGCTTAATAATGGGTTTTGATAGATAATTCTTTTTCTCTCCAGAGCTTTCAACCAAGAAGCTTCGGTCATTGGGTCACATTCAAAGGTGGTCTGTATGGCTTCCTACTGCTCTGCACTTATTCCAGCATCAAGAAAGTACTCTCTAAAGAGAGTCTTAAAGACGAGCAGTAAAATGTGAGACGCATTCTGCTGGACCTTATGTGTGTAAGGTCAGTGCTTCAAAGGCCATTGTGAGCAGAAATAGTGTTTTTTTTTTTGTTGTTGTTGTTTTTTGGAGAAGTTTTTGCTATAGGGCACGTGCACTCGCTAGAAAGACAGAAAGTGAGAAATCACGCCCCCTGTGGGGGATGGCCATGCCACAATCCCTTCTCCCCCATTCTCCTCTAGGGATCTTAGGCACGCACGCACATACACCCGGCGTGAGTTTTAAGCCACTGGGTCCGGGACGCGAACAGCGGTCGACTACATGGGAGTCCAGCGACACAGCCATTATGCTAACTGTTGGTTCCCAGAAATAGTGTTTTTAAATTATGCTATGAGAAGTTAGAATTACGTTTTCCATTTCCAATAAAAATTGCTTCCTGTACTTAAAAATGAGGCTTTGTTTTTGGTTTGTTTTTGGTATGCTAGTAAAGTTAAAAACCTATCTCAGAGGCTGCTTGACAGGCATTATGTATCTATCCCCATGCTGGGTAGTAACCTCAAAATTCTCAGACACTGATTGATACGAACTAGTTTTTATTTAAAAATAGTTTAGGCAGGAGGAATTTGAGACTGAGAAGAAAACCTTTTCATTCTTTCCTTCTCTTGCTCTTACCTCATACCTTGTTACAGTCTCTGAGGTTTCAACTGAGCATTTCATTTGATAGGAACTACTCTCACACCAAGATAGAATCTGTGTTCACACATACAACACTTCTCCAAGGAAAACAGGATACAGATGCCAAGAATTCTCAGATAAAATTACAACCGCCACATTTCACACAGGCCCAGAATACTCACTACCATGCAACATGGCTTTTTCTTTTTGGTGGTTGTTTTTACAAGCTTTCAAGTATGCAAAGAACCCCATATACAGAGCCATTTAGTTATCAAGCATGCTGAATTTCCGAAACCACAAGAAAGGATTTTCTAACATTACAGCAACGGCCGTAATGATCCTGCTACAGGATACCTTTATAATCAAACGCCGGCGAATAACTCGGGTAGTGACTCTCCGTTCTTCCTCTGAGCTTGAATCACTTTCACTGTTTTTCAAGTCCTGATAAATGTATTTTTAGTATAATTTTACCATCACATTTAAAATAAAAGACATTCTGAGAAGGGAAATCAAAGAAGAAGTACATTTACTTTCTAGTTTTTCCTGGTAAGGAAAATCATGACATATATTTGCGAGACTTAAGAAAAAATTTGAAACTGGATTGTAAATAAAATTACCCTTTGTATGTACGTAAAAAATCAAGCTAAATTATAAACTATTAAAAATAACTATAGAGCCTTTTGACATCAGAAACTATTAATGTGGAGAAATATTCACATTCCTTTTAAAACTAGTTTTATATCTATGTTCATTAATTGGAATATATAATATTATAGTTCAGGTCACATTTCAACTTGATGTACAAGAATGAGGCATTTCTGATTTTCATGAAATTTTCAACAAATTGACAATGTAAAATATTTGTATCAGCACAATGTGGTCCATATTTTTATATCAGAGATTATTATCAAGATAATTGGGCCTCAGTACCAGTTGTATCTTAAGATTTTATTCAAATGATTGAATAATGTAAAACATTAATGTTTGAAGTCTTTTTAAAGAACTGAAATCAAAATATAAAGTAGAACATTTTACATGTAAAAATAATTATACAAAATATTTTAGGGAAAAAGGATAGGAATCAGGAAAAACTATCAAGTAGCACAGTTAATAACTCAAAGGGAAAAATATGTTTAGCTTTTACTTAAATGCCATGGTGAAGAGTATTTACTAAGTGGTTTTATTTCTAGACTTTAATAGAGGGGTTCTGGAAAATAATTCTGGTATTTTATTAAGTTTACTGGTTACAAATCTACTAACCTCAGGTACATAAATTCAAGTCAACATTCATTGGAAAAAGAAATGGCAATATTTATTAAATGGTGAAAAAAGAAGTAAAATTGCCATAGGAGGTGTTAGATACAATGATTTATGAAATGTTAGTCAAATGGATAATATGCTAGGCTGTCTTTTTTGTAAAGGTAAACCTGACAAATATTTTTAAATGTTATAGTAGTATCAACCTTATTATGTAGGAAATTTCCTATGAACAAAAACACTGTACCCCCATGGAGTAATATGGTTTCAAGAGAAAATAGTAGCCAATAGCTCTGTAAGAAGTAAAAACTTGAAATTAAATCCCCTATTATGTTTTCAAATGTTCAGAAAAGGGCAGTAAATTCAGAATACTTAGAATGATCTACATATTGTGAAAGTAGCCCTACAACAGGTCAAAAAGGCAGGAAATGGTAGGAGGAATTCCTAATGATGAAAGAATTACTTAACTGCATTCCACAATTGATGGGTTGATGAGGTTGAAGGGAAACTGAATTAGCCATATGCGGGATCTTAAAATGGGGAAAGGTTTTCCTTCGGGTAATTCCCAAAGAATAAGTCCATAATGTGAATGTGAACAGTAACAGCAAGCCTAGATGTTACTGATATTATACTCCTATCAAGAATCATCTGAGAACAGCCTCGTAAAGAAAAAGTGGCCATCTGGTCAACGCTGCAGTTTCCACTTCCTCCCCGGACTCCTTGCTAACCCTAAGGTGAAGGGTAGTGAGAAGCAGAAGAATCTTGGGATGAGGGTTCCTTTTAAAGAATTCTCTAGGAATTGGTAAAGGGAGAAACTACGAAACGAAATGGAATTTTCTTAGCTCTCCTTGTCATGGGTTGCTGTACGGAAAGAGGTGGAAAAGCAGAATTTTACCTTGTAACAGCAGGCAGTGATCCGTGTAAGAGCTGCACCCGGACTTTTGACCTGATATTTTAAGGGATAAAAAGGGGCTGTTTTTTGAGATCATATATCAGATAACCTAGTTGGATGCTATCGTAAATATGGCATAGCCACAAAAGACACCAAACATCTTTGGATTTCTTGTGCGCCCAGGCTCTTATCTCCCAGAAGCTTTAACTCCATTATGGAATTATTTTTTTCCTGTCACAGGGTGCATGCACTCACCAGAGAGAGAGAGAGATACAGAGAAAGGGAAAGTGAGAAATCACCCCCTATTGGGGATGGCCATGCTGCAATCCCTTCTCCATTCTCTCAGGACTTTGGGCATGCATACAAACTGCCTAGCATGACTTTTAAGTTACCACATCTGGGACTTGTGGGAATCCAGCCATCTGAACCACAACACCACCTGCTGGCCCAACACTATGGATTTTTGTGGTCATGAAGTTTTTAAGCATTAGGGTGGGACTGGTGATCAATACCAAAGGTACAAACTTATTTATAAAAAAAATCTTGAAAAATGCTTTCTAGAGGTAATTATTTTTCGACTGACCAATTCAGTTGAGTTTTCACAGATGTTCATTTTTAGCTCTTCATGGCAATGGCCAATATGGTTCCCTAATAGCCAATATGTATGCATATATAACACACAGACCAGTGCTCATTATAGATGTATAGTACTTATTTTCAGAACTTTAATGTTGATTTGCAGTAGGCTTATGCAGAACAAAAGCCATAGGTAAAATATCACTATATTATTGTTTATTCTATTTTTTACAGGTATATTTTAAAAGAGACTATACCATCCAGACTCACACAGCTTAAATATCCTTAAGAGTCAAGTCAAAGAGAGAAATCAGTAATCAAAACCATGCTAGTCAGGAAGTAAACGTCCTGAGCCCAAGACTCACCTCAACGCAAAAGCTTGAGAGAAAATCAGAAAAAGAACTGTTTCATTCAATAACTGCCTACACCAAATTCTACATAACTAGATGGATTAGGATTTTATGTCCTCTCCCTTCTTTGTTTTGTTTTGTTTTTCCTTTTTAGAGAGGGCACATGTGAGTCTCAGAATGCCTAAGAGAGGGAAAATGAGAAAGCATCCCCCCATGGGGAATGGTCATGCCACAGTCCCTTATCCTCCATTTATTTCTCCCTCTTTTCAGGATTTTGCGTATGCACATGCCTGTGCCCAGGGTGTTTTTCAAGCCACTGGGTCCGGGACTCAGCTGTGTGGTTGTCCTTGTGGGGTCCAGTCACTTTAAGCACCACACCACAGGCTGGCCTTCCTTTCCTTCTAACAAGCAGGAAAATAGTCAAGACAGTCTGCAGAAAAGAAAAACGTATCTAGTGATACGCTGATAATTAACTCCAGATTGACTGGGAGTTCACTGTAAAATTAATCACGAATTCATTATTTTAGAAAAGATTCCCCCCTTCCCACCCCAAACACTGAGGTGGGTCTTGAGTGAACTAGCTGTGTCTCAGGGAAAACTGTAAGTGCTGCTATTCCAAAGACTCAATCTATGTCTGTTGCACAGTTGATGAAAAGGTGTGAAAAGCAGTAAAGGATGTAGGAAACAGAGCTGATTTCTGTTTTCTTATATCCATCTGTGGGTCATAGTTGCAGTCTAAAATATTTTTAGTGTTTAAAAATGATAAACCTCAAAGAATAAAAAAAACTATTAGATGGTACCACAACAACATACAAGTACAAAGAGCAAGCAAATAATTCTTTCACAGTAAGGTTTTAAACTAGTATTATTAGAAATGAATGTTCAATGATCAACTAAGATGCAACAATTGTGAAAACGACACTTCTAACTTTACATTTCTAACTGCTGTCAACATCTTTCATTGCAGGCTTGGAAATTATGCCTCTTCAGTTTTTAAAACACATTCAGACAATAAACGTTACAGAATAGAACTCTTAAATGGGTCAGATGCTATAGAATCTACATTATGCCAAAGAGCCAGAAAGAATCAGAGTTCTTATCTTCCTCCCATAAGAAAGATGACTCTTTAAGAAACTTGAGTCCCAGACAAAATTATTATTACACCCTAAGCTAGTTACTTAGTGTTGCGATTCCTTTTTCCTACCCACTGAATAAAGGTATGATCAAATGGTATTTCTTTCCATCAGCGCTCTCTCGACTTCCACCCTTAGTACTACGACTTCACATAGAAATAGTAAAGCGCTCTGGGCCCAGCGGTACGAGACTCACGAGAAGCAAAGCATCAGCATTTTCAATTTACAGGACAGCGTACTGGATGACCAAGTGACATACCTTTTGCTCAGACCCACTGGACCCCTCTTCTTCATGGAGATTGAGCCTTGGCCTGCCATCTGCAGGAGAAGTCCTACTCATCTTTTTCATACTGACAGGCACACAGGGTTTAGGCTCTTCGATGACAAGCTTGCTGGTTTCTTCCAGAGATTTCTGATATGCTGCTAGTGGTGATGCTGGTTCCTCAACACGACCAGACCCTTGTGTTTTTGGTTTCAGAGTTTCTTTAACACTCTGTTTTCCTATATCATTTTGTGATTCTGGAAAGTAGGTTTTTGTCTTTGCATCTGGAGTGACTTCTGCATGGTTTCCATTTGCTTCAAATTTTCCAGGTTCTCCTTTGAGATATGAGGTAATGGAATCTCTACACTGGTCAGGGCTGCAAAAGATAAGATGGCATATTGATAATGGCAACCTATGGTTGACAATGGGCTTCCAAAGGACAAATTTCTTACAGCCATGTTTTAAATCATATCTGAAGGTATGAAATAGATGGTATGAAAAAGCTAGTCACTGGACTAAAAATGTGAGAGGCTACCATGGTGGAAGTGTGAGGAGGTGCTACACAGGTCCAGGTATGCGTCACATGCCAACTAGTATCCTGGCTAACTTGTTGTCATCTGTTCTGTTTTCATTGCAGTTTAGCTACTTGAATACTGTATACTGAAAAGTAATCCTGAGAGGTCCATGGACATCCTATAGTTACAACCCAGCAATCTAAAAGGGGTAGGATATTTCAAACTGCTTTTATAGTACCATTTAAAAAGAAAGGAAAAAAAAAAAAAAAGCTTGCTGACAGAACGGAACCAATCTTGTGATGAAAATGCTGGCATCTCCAAGAACCCCCAAATTCTAGTCTTTTGTATATGTTTCCAATTATGAACACTTCTATTATGCTTTTCCAACTGTGATACCTTTATCTGAATCCTTTATCTGAATCTCTGCTTCTGACCTCACTGTGTTCAGAGTGTTGGTACATACCCTTTGCTGACCATTTTTCCTTAACCATTAAAAATCTTCCGGGGGGCCAGCAGATGGCGTAATGGTTATGGACTACTATGTAGTCGACCGCAGTTCGAGTTCCAGGACCTGGCAGCTTAACACTCATTCCAGGAGTACAGTGTGTGGATGCCCAAAATCCCGAGAAGAGAATGGAGGAGAAGGGACTTGGTATGGCCATACCCCCTGGGGCGAGTGATTTCTTGCTTTCTGTCTCTCTGTTTCTGTCTCTCCAGTGAGTGCACATACTCTATAACAAAAATCTCGTTAAAAAAAAAAATCTGGGGCTAGGAGGTGGTAAAGCTTGCTGACAGAACGGAACCAATCTTGTGATGAAAATGCTGGCATCTCCAAGAACCCCCAAATTCTAGTCTTTTGTATATGTTTCCAATTATGAACACTTCTATTATGCTTTTCCAACTGTGATACCTTTATCTGAATCCTTTATCTGAATCTCTGCTTCTGACCTCACTGTGTTCAGAGTGTTGGTACATACCCTTTGCTGACCATTTTTCCTTAACCATTAAAAATCTTCCGGGGGGCCAGCAGATGGCGTAATGGTTATGGACTACTATGTAGTCGACCGCAGTTCGAGTTCCAGGACCTGGCAGCTTAACACTCATTCCAGGAGTACAGTGTGTGGATGCCCAAAATCCCGAGAAGAGAATGGAGGAGAAGGGACTTGGTATGGCCATACCCCCTGGGGCGAGTGATTTCTTGCTTTCTGTCTCTCTGTTTCTGTCTCTCCAGTGAGTGCACATACTCTATAACAAAAATCTCGTTAAAAAAAAAAATCTGGGGCTAGGAGGTGGTATAAATGGTTAAGGGTGCTGGACTCCCACATGGCCGACTGCAGTTCAAGTCCCAAACCTGGTAGTTTGCCTTCTCACTTTCCCTCTCTCACTCTGTCCTTCTCTGTAGCTCAGGGAGCCAGATCCCACATGACAAAATGGAAAGTCATCTGACCCTCTACCGTGTGAAAAATATACCATTAACATTTTGAATATCCTTTCTACAGAATTAAGACATTTAAAAAATGAATATAGAAGAGAGGATTTAAACCCTGGCCCTATCAACTTGAAAAATATGGCACATATGAATACATGCCTCAAATCCTGAAAATATGGAGAAACAGAGGGAAAGGACTTTAGCATAACCACACCCCATTACCAAGGGGAGTGGGGGTAGGGAGGGTACTTTCTCTCTGGCATTTGCATATGCCCTCTGGCAATAAAAAAATATTTTCTACTCTTTTAGGGTAAATGTTCACTAACTGCGGTATAGATACCCTTCATTTTATATTATAGTTTGTGAATTTTTAGTGTCTTTGCTTACCGCAGAAGGCAGTAAGTAGAACCATGTTTTATATGTACAGAAGGGGTCTTCCAAAAGCTTATGGAAAATGCATACTATGAAAAAACTATGCATGGATTTCAAGTTATTTTGCACCAAAGTAAATTGCTACTATAATTCTATATTTGCACATACATTTGGAATTCCCCTTGTATATATGGTTTATAATTGTCAAGTATATACTTCAAAATCAAATTTTGATATCTGAGCAATTTAAGAAAAGGCATCAATAGCACATCATATTCTGTATATAAGACAATCTCAGGATTTTTTCCATTTTAATTCCATGGAAGAGCCTATATGAAATAAGCAATTCTGAGTTAATAATAATGAATACCTTTAATATATTTAAATTTGTTTCCTGATGTACAACAATAAATTACATGGCTATATTCCAACACGGACATTAAAATTAGTACTATGTCTTTTTTGCAATAATCTCTTTGGTAGGCTGTACATTGAATACACTGATGTTTTCAAAAGGAGTTTTCTAAACTCCTTGCAAATTTATAAACTCCTTTTTAGGGAATTTTAGAGAGCAAGAAACTTATCAGTGACATATATTAAATATGGTTGTGAAATATTAGGTCATTGGGAAAGTCATGACTTATTTTTCTGGTTTTCTACACAAAGATGTATCATGACTTTCCCAACGACCCAATAATATCGGTTCTTCATCCAACATAGATGTATCACTAGTTACCAGTGAAGTAAAATATAGCCTAATCTGCAAATAAGTGAAGCCTCTTGTCACTGAGAGATTACTGTTTGCATCAGACATTTGGTAGGTATGATACAGGCTTCTCTTTTAAATCTATAAACCTGTTTGAGAAAAGTGGTCTTATTCTTAGAGCTTATAAATTCATCCGAAATCACGAAGTGCAAACCTAATAGGGGTAGATGTTGAACCAATGTCTTGGGTATCCTAGACTCTTAGCTTTTTAAGACAGTATAAAGGCGGTATAAAAATGAACCAAATTCATGATCAAGAAATTATTTTGGTTGTAAATAGATATCTACCATGGCAATATTATTTGGAGTAAAGAACTACATGTGTTTCAAATGATGAAAAATAACATTTTTGGAAAGATAGGATATATAAAGTGTTAACATTTTTTCAGTATGATAGGTCGTCAGATGACTTCATTTTCTTTGTCTGCATTTTCTACACTAAAACATTTTTGAAATGTGCATAGAAGACAGTAAATCCAGCAAAATATTAATGGTGGCTATTCTAGATGATGGGATTATGTTGATTTTTAAAATCTCTCTTGTAGGGACCAGTAGGTGGCATGGTGGTTAAGGCACTGGACTCCCACATGGCCAACTGCAGTTTGAGTCCCAGACTGGCAGCTTGCTTTCTCACTCTCCCTCCTCCTCTCTCTCTGGTCAAATTGAAGAAATAATAATAAATAAATAAAATTAAATACATTTAAAAAAATCTGTACTGTAGTATTTTGTATGATGAGCATATTTATGTTTGTAGTTAGGACACAATCGAAATGTCTACTTCTAAATGACCTGGACTTTTATTTATTAAATTATTTTGAATGAACATTAACTACTAGCCATGTGAATAAAATAATACAAGTAATAAATAAGAAAAGAATAGTCTTCTAAAGGGAAGGCAACTAACTTATAAATCTTTGGCATGTATGTAAATTTTTTTTGCGTTTTACTTCAGGCTCTCAATAGTTTTGAGAATTGTATTTGAATATGAGTTCACTCTCCCTCTCCAGATTACCGTAATGAACCAACCTTTAAAACAGATAGTAACCCCCAAACTGGGATGGTAATCGAGGAAAAGTGTCATTGCTAAAAGGCATGCATTTAAAGCACACTTTTAACAGGTAACCTGTGTTTCACTTTTTCTCTGAGACTGAGCCATACCTGTCATCCAGTCGGTCCAGTAACCCACCAGTTATTCTTCGAGCTTGGCCAGGGGATTCTAGGTTTCCGCTGGATGTCTCGTTCTGCCAACCTGTAATTGAAGACATTTCCAGTTCTGCTTGCTGAACACGTTTAAGAACAGCCTGTACTTTTTCTTCTGTCATCTCCTCAGATTCTACTCCTTCTTCGAGTTGAACGTCCTCAAACAGAGACTTTAATTTCTCTTCCATCATCTCCTCATCAGGACCAGATTTTCCTTCTGCCTGCTGCTCAGCACTTACTCCTACTTTCCTAGTCTGTTTCAAAGGCTCTGCTGATTTAGCATCTTTTGGGACCCCAGCCAAACTTCCGAGGTATTGAGGATACTCACTCAGACACACATCTTCCAACTGGCTCTCATCTACATCCACTGCTTCGGGCATTTCTGTTAAAGGCACTGAGTCTTCCAGTTTGCTGTCTTCTAAGGAAGTATCTTCCGCAGTTACCACGGGAGGTCCGGCTGCTGAATGCTCTAGGTTTCCCTGGGAAGGCGCTAGCCCATCACTCAGTCTACTGGGGGTTCTAAGGGGAGACTCTATGCTAGAGATATCACTAAAATAATCGTCTTGCTGGAAAGGGGTGGGTGGTGTGTAGTGCAACCCTGTGGGGGTCTCCAGTTCCACTTGAAGGGAAGGATAACCTATGGAAGACAGTACATTTGGACTGACTGAAATGAATTAGAACACATCAAACAAAAACACATGGAATGATTAAAATGATATCAGGTATGAAAATGTATGATGACTTATAGAATTATGTTGACAACTTTATTAGTTTAGCTCAATTACATGTAATTCAATGAAATTAAAGCCTAGTGCAAACTACAATAAAATAGAATAAGCAATTAAGATAGTGTTTCTATCAATTGAGATATACTTTTCATATTATAACTTAATATGCAGACTAATTAATCCAACATTAGAGTTATTCCATGGCCAAATTTATTATCTTTCTATGTTTAGCATGCAAAATTTATACTGTGGTAGATTGAATACAGTAAAGCCACAAGAAGCCAAGTTTTGTGATCAATTACCTATAATTTAAGTACTGTACAATATGAACAATGAAATCTGACTCTAATTCGTATTTGTTTCACATGAAATTTGCAGCAAAGAAAAAATAAATTTAATCTTTGGAAAGAAATGATTATTAGATTTTAGAGCAGCAGCATTGGGGGAAAAAAAACCTACAAAGCTATCAGGAAAAGGATTTAAAAAGCAGACGAAATAGGAGGACTCCATGTAGTTTTGGTGCTGTAATGTGACAGAGATGCAAGGGCTGTGGTGTGCATGGAGGTCTTGGTGAAGCCGATGACGGTGTCCACTTACAAGCACAAATCAAATTAAGAAAAAAAATGATACACAACACACATAGGAGGAAAACCTTCGACAGAGAACCCTCTGAATATTCACGATCAAACTGAAACAGAGAGCTTATTAACCGGCCTACAGAGGAGGGCGCTAATCCTTTGATTCAAACATTGCTGTGTGGACTATCAAAGTATTTTTCTGCCTTAGCAGAGAGAAAAGTCAACAATGGTCTGGTCGTGGTGAGGAAAGGAAGTTTCAAAAAATTCAATGAAGAGGAGAGACAGGAAAAAAAAAGGCAACGAAGCACACTGTCTTATATTGGTTTATAAAACAAAACTAAAGCCTAGTTTTTCCATCACCCCAAGGTAAACAGCAATTCAGATGTTGTAATTTCAAATAGCTGTAAGTAAGTGGACTTTTTCCAGTTATAGTCACCGATAAGCCAGAATCTTACTGAAAAGTAGGCTCAGATTAGCGGAGATTTATAACCTGTGTAAATACAGTTTACTTTATGTATGCATTCTTAAATGTCCCTACAACATTTTTTTTTGGAGAAGTTTTTGCTATAGGGTGCATGCGTTCGCCAGACAGACAGAGACAGAGAGACAGAAAGGGAGAAATCACCCCCCAGGGGGGATGGCCACGCCACATTCCCTTCTCCCCCATTCTCCTCTTGGGATCTTGGGCATGCACGCACATGCGCCCGGCGTGAGTTTAAGCCACTGGGTCCGGGACTTGAACCGCAGTCGACTACGTGGGAGTCCAGCAACTTAGCCATTGCGCCAACTGCTGGTACCCCCCAAAACATTTTTAAATGAGGAACCTTACTATGAAATACTAAGAGAGAGCAACAAAATTTCTTGTAAATATATTTGAACACTATTCTGATTTTGAAATGTTAAAATTAAACGAAGTGTTTAAGGTCACCAAATACTTCTGTTGTATTCTGATGGTCTTTTTTATTAGAGTTCCTTTTCTTAAAAAATTTTCCCTATAAAGAATATGAAAAGAATCTATGAACTATAACTTGTCAATAATTCATAATTTGATATCACAATGATCTACATTTATCTAAAGCAAAAAGAGTTTGGTTAGCAATACACAGTCTCACATCTATGACAGCCTTGACGAGAACCTCTGTGGTATTTACATGCTTAAAAAGACACAGCTTATGACTTCACTACCCTTTGTGTTCACGTTATATGGGAACTATGTTTAGTTTTGTTATGCTTTTAAAGTTTGTTTACTTTAAGTAAATGGAAACTTTTTAAGGATTTGAGATCTTTTCCCACATAACATAATGTAGTATTACAAGGTAATGAGTCTAACTTTGCCAGTGAAATATGAAAAAAAATCACCGTATTTTGCAAAATTTGAAATGGAATGGTTTCCTCTTTATGTCTCTTCACCATCATCAGTAACGTCCACTCAGAACTTATTGTTGGAATACATTTCCAATTGAAAAGACTATATTAAAAATCATAGTAAAAAGTTTATGTTCCACATCGATAAAGAAAGTTCCAATTTATGTAATGAAGAGGACAATATGGTGTAAATTAAGCTAACGTGAAAGAGGAATTTTGTTATCTATGCTTGTTGAATTACAAATTATGCTGCCTTTTTATACAGAATAGATCATATAAGACTTTTACAAAGAATAAATGGCAGCAGATGAAGTTAAAAATGATAAGCAGCTACACACTTATTTAAATGACAAGATTTTTTTTTCAGTGCATGCTTAAATCCTTGGTACCAGAACAGTAAATTCTCTGTTTTATATTAAAAGTTTATACACTATATGCCCAAGCTTGACTGAATACCTTGCTTCCTTGATAAAAGTGGTTCAAGATTTGGTTTTACTATATATAAATAAAAGAAATCTCTAGCTTTTTTGGTTAATGTAAAAATGAAAAATGACAAAAGCAAGGCTTTAAGCATTAACTTTCTTCCTCTTGGTCATATGAAATGTTATTAACTTCAACTTTTTTGGATAACTTATGCTTTCATACCTCATTATTTACACTGCATATAACAGAGACATTTACCAAGTCAGATATCAGAGTGTTTATGTGCAGAACGTGGCAAAGAAAACACTGTGAAAATGAGAAATTAAGTCAAGCACATCGCAATTTTGCTGGGTTTAAGTGACTGCCTTGTCCGACCGCACTTTTGCATTTTATCAAATGATTAAATAAATATGAACACTAAATTCAATTACCATCAACAGGGTCATGGAAAACATTGTTCTCATCTGCAAAACTTCTGGTGCCTGAAATATTTCCATAATCAAATATTGGTCCTTCTAGCAGAGTCACTATATCTATTCGATTAATTTTTGTCAAGACCGAAGTTAAGGCATCAGCTGAAAAGGAGAAAAGAGGTTGAAAACCCAATTACATTGCTGCCTTCCACTCAGCACAACATCCACACAAAGCCACCCTCCTGACCCTTTAGCTCCTCTGCACTCCAGTTCTGCAATGTCACTAGAGGGGGCTCAGAATGCTCAGTGCCTTAGGGAGACGTTTGTTAGGGTCATAAGCATCACTTTGTAAAGTGGTGTGTTATTACAATAGCATTCATTTCATGAATAGCAGATGGGCCTGAAGATAGCTAGATTCTTTTTTTTTCCTTTTCTTTAAGAGAGATTTTTGGTATCGGGTGCATACACTTGCCCAAGACACAGAGACAGAGAGACAGAAAGTGAGAAATCACTTCTCAAGGGGGATGGCCACACCACAGTTTTTTCTCTTTCATTCTCCTTTTGGGATTTTGGGCACACATGCACATATACCCAGTGTAAGTTTTAAGCCACCAGGTCCAGGACTTGAACCATGGTCAACTATGTGGGAGACCAGTGACAGAACCATGACGCCGTCTGCTGGTCCCGATAGCTATATTCTTTTTAGTTATAAAGGGATCTAATAAAACTTTCAACAAGTTCCTTTCCTTTTAGTCAAAATAGGTCAACCTCATTTTTTGAGGCTTAGCATTTTAAAGGTCAGACTGACACAGGCAAACCCACAATAACTTATTCCACATTGTCGTGGGTTTGGCACTTGCTAAAGTACACCACCATCCTCCATACCCCTCCTTGCCAACAAAGCCAAACCCAACCCAATTCAACATATTCGAGAATTCTCTACCACTACAGACTGAGCTGAATAAAACCACTTGCTCCCCTAATTCGATCCTATCCTTCTCTCTGCATTTACTTGCACATTCACTTCTAGCCTTGGCAGTAATTTCCGAGTATTTCTGAAGACTGTTCCATGATTTAACAACTACAGTTATATTTTCACTTTTAATGATCACAGAAAGACAGGCAAATCCCAAACAATTCCCTATTCATTGCTTTCCAAAAAGCTTTCTAAAAGCAGTTTAGAATGTCAGCTTTAACAAGAATAATTTCAAGAGTTACTTTATGATCATTCTGATTTAATTTTCCTATATTAAAAAAAATCACAGAAAATACAGAGTAATATTTGAATGAACCTAACAGTAGGCTTATTGGATATATGCATTTTGGAAAGTTAAAAATAATGTAATTTCAGCATACTTGTAGCATTTTTTCCGTCTCTGGTAACCCATTTTTTTAATAACATGAAGCTTTGAGAAATTAAAGAATTTGGATTTTCCACACGTATTTGATTGATTTCATCCACTGAAAAATTCAGTTCCCTTGCCAGTTCTGTAAAAAGAAAAAGAGTTACTAAGATTGCATTTGATACTTTTATCACACACAGTTCAAGAGAGAAATGTTCAAAAGCACCCCCCCCCAAACACACACACAAAAGTGAAAGAATTTTATAGTAAAGCCAAAGAACAACTTTTTGGATATTAACTTTTAATACTTGATTTCACAGGAAAGTAGTAATCACATTCAGTCTGTGACATAAGTCTCTTCGGTAATTACATATAATTAGATTCCCTTTAAAGATGATTTCATAAAGATTCTCAGCCTTTGGGAAGATGGTGTTGCCTGATTCTTCTAATTCAGCCATATTCTCTACAATTTGAGCAAATTGCATACAAAATAGGTAGAGGTATACAATTCACAAATATGGCACAAGAGATGCCAGTAGGGTTTCCTCCAAGCAATCTGTGAAATATATCTTTTTCTCACATAATATTTCACTCTATAAACCTTTAAGTTTCAAGAACTCCACTCATGAGGTTAATGGTAACTCCGGGCCAGATCACTGTGTATGATACACAGTCACTTATATTACCAAAAAAGATAGTTTTCTGTATATACAACTCATATACTCAATCTTGTAAATGTAAAGAGTCTCTCTCTGGAGTCACAGACATGATCTGGGTAGTACTGGCTGTCTTGAGAGAGGGAAACTTAGGAGTCAAAGATAGGAAAGAGACTTTTCACTGAGTATTTTTTTGCACATTAAAAAATGTTTGTTGGGAGTATATTACCTTAAGTGATTATAAAATGTAAGAAATGGGGTGAAATATTCTCATAGAAAGGAACTGGTCAAGACTCTCTTTCTCTTAAGAAATATTTCCAGCAATTTGGCAAAATGCATTCAGGAGTTCAAAAAGTTCATATCTTTGACCAAGTGATTTACTCTAGAAATCAATCCAGATGATACGTAAGGGTTATATACAATGATTTTTTAAGATATGAATGCTCATTTCAAGCCTTTATTACTGAAAAATTAAAAATGACTCACAGGTTGAACAAAAGGAGGAGTTAATTTATGGAAGGCACTGGCTTGTAAATGGTTTTGAGGCCTATAGTTATACACATTGTATATAATATTTTTATGTAAATTAAACCAGATCTTCATGAAGCAGAATTTCCCTCAATACACATAATGCACATTTTCTTTTACATTATATTTCATTTAAAAACAAAACATGAATTGATTTCAGAACTGAGTGCATTGGGACTAATAGTTAGAAAAACACTATCAAAAGGTACATCGATAAGATTTGCTATTTATCTTTTAAAGCCAGGATCAACAAATGATTTTGTAGGAAACAATGTAGTTGTAAATAAAAAAACAGAAGATTACAAAGTATTTTATAACATTATAAAAGGTTTTTATTAAGGAAAAACCACACATGAGATGTTGATAATGATTTCTAGGAACAGATTTAAATTTTGTTCTTTCAAATGTTTAATTTTCCTAAAGTCTAGTTAGAGAAATTAATTAGTTTTTCTCTTTCTTTTCTTTTTTTTTAAAGATTGTTTTTGTCAAAATGTACATGTGCTGGCCAGAGAGAGACAGAGAGGAAAAGTGAGAAATCATCTCCCAAGGGGAATGGCCATGCAGCAACCTTCTCCATTCTGCTCTTGGCATTTTGGGCATGTACACCCACATCCCCAGCGTGATTTTCAAGCCATCAGGTCTAGGACTTGCACTGTGGAGTCAGGTATGTGGAGTACTTCCGGCTTAACTTCCCCGCCATCTACTGGCCTTTTTTTTTTTTTCCTGTTTCTTATAAGAGACAATACTTGGGCCTGTAGGTGGTGTGGTGGTTAAGATGCTGGACTTCCACATGTGTAACTCTGGTTCAAGTCCTAGATCTGGAGGCTTGAAAATCACTCCAGGAATGTGTGCATGAGTCCCCCAAATCCTGAGAGAAGCCTGGAGGACAAGGGATTGCAGCATGGACATCACCCTTCAGGGTGATTTCTCACTTTCCTTCTCTCTGTCTCTCTCTCTCTGGCAAGTACACATGCACTATGGCAAAAACCTAAACGAGAGAGAGAGAGGGAGATAATACTCCTATTGCCCAACAGGCCCTCGTGACAAGCTGTATCCATTATCTGGAGACACAGTGAGGAGCACACACACACTACGGCTTCTACCGTTTTATGGCCTGTGTCTGGCTATTATGCTACACTTCCTCTGAAAATTTACTCTGACACAGTATAGATTGTATTTGCTTAAAGAAAATAATCTAACAGAGGCATATAATGATGAAAATTATTATTTTCTCCAGTGTATTATCAGATTACAATGTTGTTATAAGTATTATTTGTACTGTTAGTCAATATGTAGACATAATGAATAATTATTAACGCTCAACCACTTGCAGAGGATTCCTCAGATCAAATACTTCTTTGGAGCTCCATCAGGCTCCTGGTCATTAGCAGAGTACCCGAGAGCAGGGATGCTTGGATGGAGAGAGGAGGGTTTGGTATGCTGTAGTGGTGAGGGTGGACAGGGGTGCTGAGGGCATGTAAGGAAAATAATTCCGATGAAATATTTAATTTCACATCTCCCCTTTTAACAGCAGGGATAATTATATGGAATGAATGTCATTGCTGACATGAAAGATGACTTTAGCTAGGACAGTAATTAACACTATTTTAACAATTATGGTTTTTGGCCGTGTATTAAGAAAATCCACACTCAACCTACAAAACAAAAAATGTCTCAGATTCATGGGAGGTAGGATTTGGGGGGAATGTTAAGATCAAAACTACAAAGTTGAATTGTTTGAATGATTAAAAAAAACTCATTTTCATCATTTTTTCCCTTTAAAGACTTATTTTTTAAAGAAATTATTTATTTAGTTTTATTTGTTATTATTATTATTATTTGACCAGAGAGAGAGAGAGAGAGAGAAAGGGAAAGTAAGAAAGCAAGCTGCCAGCTCTGGGATTTGAACCACCATGCTACCTGGTAGGCTCTAAGAACTATTTTTATTTAATTTTATTTATTATTGTTATTATTTTTAATTTAATAGAGACACACAGAGGAAATGTGAGAAAGCAAGGTGCCAGGTCCAGAATTTGAACTCTAGTCAACTATCGTGGGAGTCCAGTGCCTTAACCACCATGCCACTTACCAGCACCCCTCATTTTCATCTTTAATTAAAATCAAGCCAAATATCTTCTCACTACACACTGATTATAAAATTTTGTTAATTTTGATGAATTCCACTACTTTCATGAATTGCATATATTTATTTATTTGTAGCCTATTTTTTAACATTTTAATTCAACATTGAAATAATCTTGTTTTCTTATTTATTGGGTTGTCCAAAAAGTCATGATGTATTTTTTCTATGTTTTTCTATGCAAAAATGTGACTTTTCCAACAACCCAGTGCATGGATACTGTAAATAATCTTTGTTTTCCATGATCAAAGTAATGTGAGGTTTTCCTTGTAAATATATCCTCGAGGATAAGAAAGAGTACACTTAAAGAAAAGCACTAAGTGGGGACCAGCAGATGGCAGGGTGGTTAATCATCAAGAATTAAAATTAAAATTAATGAAAATATTAAATATTAACTAAAATAATCATCAAGAAAGATACGATACTGGAAAATTGCACTGGACACTCCCATATGGTTGACCACAGTGGGAGTCCCAGATCTGGTGGCTTGCTTTCTCACTTTCTCTCTTTCTCTGGTCAAATTAAAATAAAATGAATGAATAAATAAAATTAAATATTTTCAAAAAGAAAAGCACTAAGTAAACAAATGTATATATTATATGTAGACATAAAAATTGTCAAGGTGACTCATGAATAATTAAAATTTGTGAAACCCAGAATGGGCTAATTGAGTTGTTGCCTAAGATTGCTGCTCTAAGGACATTAATCATGTTAAAGAATTCAGATTAAAGTCACCGACCTTAGCTATGTTTTCCTTTATACTGCAAAATAAGTGTGTTATTAGGTAAAGCATTATTCTATATTATCATAAATGGCATTGTGAAGATTCACACTTAAAGTAAAATAAAATTTACATGTCTGCTCTTTAGTGTCTGTACATAGAAAAAGCTTTGGGAAAGCACAAAGTGCAAGGCACTATCTGAAATTACCTACGGGTAGATAGAATTATAGATGATAAAAATGTTTTTTATGGGACCAGTAGCTGGTGTAGTAGTTACGTTACTGGAATTCCACATGGCTGACAGCGGTTCGAGTCCCAGAACTGGTAGTTTGAAAATCACACCAGGTACATGTGCATGTATGACAACCTGGGAAAGAATGGAGGAGAAAAGGTTGCAGTGTGGCCATCCCCCCGGGGGGGTGATTTTTCACTTTCTCTCTCACTGTGACTGTCTCTATTTCTCTGGCAAACACACATATCCTAAGGCAAAAAAAAAAAAAAAAAAAAAAAAACCCTCTAAAAAAATTTTTTTATGAGTTGCTTGTTTCTATTTCTTTAAAAATATATAAAAAACTACTTGTGAATAAGGCAAAGAAGTTAAGAAACGGTATTGGCTTCATCCCGCCAGGTACACACTTACCTGTCCAACTAAGTCCCAGGTGATCGGCTACTATTGCCATCCTGATATCTGTCCGTTCACATGGACTCTGTGGACCTACGATTTACAATTTCTTAATTAAAATAATCATCAAGAAAGATAAGATACTGGAAAATTGCTTTTAGCAGAACTCAGATTTTACAGAGAGACTAATGCTAACACTGTACACTTACATGTGTCCTGATCACCTACATGAACACTTCTTTTCACATGGCTCACTTGTTTTTCTCCTGCATCAGGCCAAATGTCAGACTACATGGATGCTCAATGTAATGGGATTGAACATGCTCACAAGCTAGCTACTTTACAACATTTACAGCAGTGTCGTGTTGGTGAAAACACCATGACGGGATTTCAACATCTGTGCTTTTACTTTGACATAATCATATCCATTAGCACATTGAAAAAAAAGTAGTTCATCTTGAATGACACCAAAATCTTCAGCATGCTTCCCTAGCTGTCTACAGTGTAGTTTGATTCAAAGAAAGAAGAGTATATAAGACAGCACATACAGATGACAATGACAGAATGAGAAACTACGGTTAAGTCACTCCACAGGCAATCACAACAGTTCATGCACTAGGGTCTACGAGTTGAAAAGTGTTTACAAACTAGGCTCGTTCTCCAGGATGTGAGCAAAGAGTGCTCGAGAGACCTGACTGCCTTCATTCTCACCAGTCCTCCTACTGCTCCTTCTCTCACTGCCGGACTTTTCACTCTTTGATTTTAAAGGTGCTGCCTCTGTTTTCTTATCTCTAGCAGACTTCGTTGTAACTGAAGGCTGGCCACCCCGGGAAGTCTCGGACACCGACGTGTTTCTTGAGGTACTCTCTTCCTCATCGGACAACTCGGACTGCATCTTTTTGTCTTCTTCAGAGAGGCGGTCCACAAGCTTTAAGGTCTCACCACTAATTCCCTTAAAATATTCAATGGAATGTTTACATACTTCCTTAAGCTGACTTTTCCTAACTTTAACTGTGGTGGTGGTGGTGGTGGTAGTGGTGGTGGTGGTGGTGGTGGTGGTGACACAGGTGGATCTTACCTTTACTGGCAACTTGGATGGAAGCTGTTTGGCCTTGCCTTTGTCTGGCTGCCCTGGCTTTGGTGTGGCACATGCTTTTCTAACCAAAACTACGTTCTCCCTGTGTGTGTTTTTTACTGGAATTCTAGACTTGACCTCTATACACGAAGAAGAAGTAAGAGCTTTGGTTTTCTCAGATGGACTAACCTGCTTCATTTTACTTGCTTTAGTGTTTGACATATGATTTGGTGGGAAGATATCTTTTGGTGAAGTGGTCTTTACAGGAAGTTTGGATTTTTGCCTACTCCCTACTGATTCCTTTGTCTTTTGCTGCTCTCCAAGAACTTTCTGCTTATCTCTTACACAGTGTCCTTGTAGTACCCCTGTCTTCTTCCCTGAGGAGACTTTCACTGGATTAGCTTTCTCTGTGGTACGAGTGGGTGCAGAATGTTCTGTCAGAGCTACATTACTTGTAATGTGATCTGTCTGTATAGTGGAAGAATCCAAATTGTTGTTGTTATTAAAGTTATCTCTTTGAAAATCATGTTTCTCTTGGGGCCTAATGCCCATCTGGCTATTGGCTGTACTTGAAAGCATTGTTAAAGTTTCATGTTCTAATCCCTGACAACTGGTCATCACAGCTTCTATCTTATCTGTTACTTCTCCAGGGCCTTCTTTCTTCATGGTCATGGTGGATGCAGAAATTCCCATTTTTATAGGCGTGCGCAACTTGGGGTCAACTTTAGAGGAGTTAGTGGCTGGGGGCGCTGCTTTCTCCAGGGAGCCACTACAGGATGTGCCTTCCTGACACTCTCCGCTGGTCTGGACGCTGGGGTTAGGTTCGACTGGAGGTGCCTCTACATTTCTCTCTAGATTGGTCTCTACAGTGGTGTCCCCTGACTGTGGCTGTGGTGTGGCAGTGACCATACTTTTATCCCCTTCCCCCTGGTCCCCTGACTTCCCTTCAGAAGTATGCTCACCAATCTGGAAAAATTGGAGCCTCTCTTCAACAAAATCCCTCTTGCTCATGTCAATTGCACCACTGCGAGTCATCTCAAACATTTTTCCTTCATGAAATGGGAAGGGGTTAGGCTCACTAGTTGGGGTACTTTCATCAGTTGGCGTTCTAGCTGGTGTTGTATCAGGGGTTGTAGCTGGAGAGCGGTCTTCCACCGCCAGACCAAACGGCTTTGTTTCATCTTCCCGTGATTTGCTGTCAAAAACTTCATCGTCCCCTCGGTTATTAGACCACGGGTCAAAATCTAGACCTTTGGTAGCCACGGTTTTAAAAGGAGTGGCAAATTCTTCATCTACTTTGTAGCTGAAATAAGTATCAGGAAACACCGATCGGTCAGGATGTCTGCCTTCCAGTGTGAAAAACTGAGTCCCTGACTTTGGATCGGTTTTATCAGGAGTCTTTTCAGAAGAAGAACTTTTCGAAGATGGCTTGTCTTCATCTGGTCCCACCTTGCCCTCCTCCTCGATAACTTCGAGTTTGCTTTGACTAAAAGAGCGATCAGTTGGCTTCAGAATGCCCTCTGTGTTCCAGACATCTTTCTTAATTTCCATGGCTTGCGTTGGGAGTTTAGAGTCACTCTCTGTCAAACCGTCATCTTCATCTTGTAGGTCATAGCCATCCAGAGAGTCGATTTCTGTGGCATCGGTGTCATGAGAAAACTCCGCTGTGGTAGCAATGGAACACTCCGTGACAGACTGGTCATTGTTCCCATTCTGGGCCGTCTCGTTCTGAGGTGACTCAAGGCCAAGACCAAATTCATTATCTTTTCCATTACTTTCAAGTTCTTTCTGGTTGGAAGCCTTTTCAGCAGAAGCTTTGGATTTTGTCCCCTCTTTCTGTTCATCATCCACTTCTTTTAATTTGAAGGTATACTTTTTAACTGGGACCGGTTGGTAAATAGATTCGTCATCGCTGGAATCACTGACATCTGCCCCAGGAGGAACTGGTGAAGGTGGTTGCACTCGGATGACCGGCTCAGCCAGCTGGTACTTGTCATGCTCATCTTGCAGATTGACTTCAATCATGTCAACCTCTTTTTCAGGAAGATAATGATGCTTCTTATCTGGCTCCATCTGATCTGCATCCAGTGGGGGAGGAGGGGGAAATTCAATGTAGGCAACTCTGTTACTTTTGGGTCTTTGGTTAGAGTCTTTGCTCATGTCACTGGGCATTTCACGTTCGACTCTAGTTTCCTCCACTGTAGTCTGCTTAAGGGAGGTTGATTTGACCTGTTCTTCTTCCTCCGATTCCTCAGAAACCTCAGGAATTGGGCTGGGTTTCCCTGGTATATAAGCTATGAGCGAGTCTGGTGTCTTAGACGTAAATTCATAACTCACTTCCTCTGAACTGGGTGTTTCTGGCGTTAAAGGGCTTTTCCCAGAGCTGTCTAGAAAGGATACTTGCTCTAGAGTATCATCTTCTGGACTACCTTGGGGAGAAGGAGGTTGCTTTTGCTGTCTAGTTGTATAAAAGGTCCCCCTGGTTTCTTGTACTGTTTTACATTCCTGACTTATGATTTTTTTTACACTTCCTTGTTGTATCTCCTTTTCGTACTGCTTCCCCACTTGTACAAAACTGACATAAACAGGTAAAGTTTTTATCTC